TGGGCACGTCCTCTGTCCCTCGGCAGCCTCGTTAGGCTTACTTCTGTCACACCATTAATTGAGGTATTGCGCGTTTGGAGGGAGGGGAGCGTTTGTAGCTTGATTTCAGGCATTATTTCTGCGGTTAATTCAGGTTACCTGCATGTGTCATGTTTTTCAGGAGATACGTTAGAAATGCAGGTTATGGCTTCAAGGAAGGGGAAGGTCCAAAAATCGTTATCGGAGAGAGCAAGAAAATGTTTGTCAGGTTCACTATTTCAAAGTATTTTAAACTAGTGTTTTAAAATAGGATGCAGTTACGAGATCGCGTTGTTTTGGCCACGCTGAGGGACCGCTTGTGCACATTATGCAGGGTTTTTAGCGTGGAGCAGAGGCTAGGCCTCAGTGAGCTGACTCAGTTCTGGTATGAAACAACCATAATGGGGGGGGGGGAAGAGTTTTTGAAGGTTGTGAATTTGGAAGTGTACTCTTACCAGTAAAATTTTTCAAATACTAATTTGGAGAAAGAGGCTTAACATAAATGGAGTGACTAGGACGACAGCAGCACCTGCAGCACTGAGTTGTCTGCCAGGGCTCCAGCAGAAATCTTTTAACAGAAGAATTGGGACTTCAGCTCTTGGGGAATGTTTTGGACTTCCAGATTTCAGGCTGAACATTATATAGATGCGTAGAAACCATTTGTCATCAGATGAGTTACTTTCATAAGAGGCAGAATTTCAGAAAACAGAAACATGATGGTCTCGCTTGGATTTTCTTTCTGTTTTCTTTGGTTTTGGTTGCTCAAAAATAGTTTAGATACTTGTAAATAAAAATTTGCGGGTGTTTAGCGATGGCTGGAAGGTCATCTATGTGCGTGTGTTTTAAAGTGATAGCTCAGCTGTTGCCTTTTCTAACAGTAGCTGTCATGAATTGTGGAGAGTGTATAACACAAACTCACCAGTAAAAAAATAAAAAAGTTCACGTCCCTATTATTATGTTACGTTTACTTTATAAGACATGGAAATAAAAAAACAAGTACTTTGAAAGTATTCTTAATATTTTCATATCGTATTCAAATAACAATAAAGAACACCTGCGAAATATTCCAACAGGTTTATGCTGCTCTTTGTAGGCCCCACTGCTGCACACGTGCTTGCCCCTTCTGCCACGAGCAGTCTCGCTGAAATTAATGGAACTCTCCTTGGTGGTGAAGTTAAATGTATGCATAATTGTTAGTAAGAACAGGGCCTTAATGACTAGCCAAATATGGAAATAGATTTATTCAGAGATAGATTTATTCAGAAATCTAGATGTAATACTTCATTTTGGTTCACTGGTGGTGTATCTGGTCCAGAGAACCCAGGTATGTCAATACCAAACTATGTGTTTACAGCAAAAGCAACACCTATCTCCCCTGCTCTTGGCCTAAGCAAAGTAAAGATTTTGGCTCCCAATGCTTCTAAGATGTGATTCAGAGTTACAGCTGAAATTTTGTTATTAATTACTCCAAATGGAAATATGATTATGACATATACCACTATTCCTGAATAATCCTTAGCTGTGAAGAGGACCCAGTCTCTATCTTAACCTGAGATACTCATTCTTGATTAGTTTTGCTGCCTGTCTTTATTGCATGGTGCAGTATGCTTGAAGAGACAGAGCGTGTATGTTATAAAATAGTAGTTTAGGGGAGAAATGGTGCTTGCATAAAGAGTTGTAGGTAAAAACTGCTCTCTAAATGCTTGCAAAACATCAGTGAGCAAGGAGAGGAAAAAGTAGTAAGGCTCTGGTATTAAGGTGGCAAAACATGCAAGGAGGCTTTATGGAGAGAAGAGCAGCATTATTAGGAATTCATGAGGGAGAAAGAAAGGAAGGGAGAAAGCAGAGTGGAATGCATCTGTCAGAAAATGAACTTTGAAATATAAGTGCTAAAATACAGTTTTGAACATGAGGCTCAAAATGGAGGCTTGTGCTGTCAGTGTGTGCTAGCAGAGGCCTGGCATCCTGGAAATACAAACTGTACCTCTGCCCATTTTGCCACAGACATACGTTTTCTGTTGTTGAGACATAAGCTAATGAGAGGAATAAACGAGTAGCCAGGAGATGCAAAGGGGAATCTTTCTAAATTTTGCCAGGTTATGATACTACTCTTGCAAAAATATGTTTGCTTTATATAGAAAGCTACTGATCTGGCAGCGTGGAGCAGCTCAATTAAATGCTGCTGTTGGAGAATTTTTAGCGTGTATGGAAAAACAGGTACTACAGGCAGATGGGTTGTCCTGTGCACTGGCATCTGTGCAGCACAGCAGAAATAGCATACATCTACTTATAGAAACTGGAGTAAAGAGGACTGGTTTTCTTGTACTGCAGGTATATAAGGGAATCGGAGGAGAGCGGGGGGGGGACGGGGGGGGGCTTTTTGGAGCATGCAGCCACAAAAGGTGGTCTTTGCATGTCATTGCGTATGTGATTGATTTGGAACATGTAGAGAGGGTGGGAGGTTGCTTACAAGACACAAATTAGAGAAGGAGGCTTCTGTAGGTTTGTGGGTGGAGGCTTAAAGGGGTTGCCTTCCTTTTTCAGATGTGAGTATCCACATACTTTATTTCTTGTGATTTAAGTTACAGTCTCTTGACTGGGTGATGATAACCGCAGCCAAACTTAAAATATTTTTAGGATCTAACAACAATGCTTCAGTTTCATACAGACTTTAGTTAGTCTTTTCATCAGTTAGTAGTGACAAGACAAGCAGATCTTGACGTTCCCTATCTTGTTCTCTGTGAAATGTTGAAGTTGTCCTTTTTCCTTCCAAACCCTGCAATCTGCTTTTAACATTGACACTGGAAAAATGGACAGTGAAATGATCCAAGATTCAGATATGACACATGACTTGAGCTGGGCATTTATTTTTAGCTACAACTGAAGTTTCCAGTGGCAATTATTTCTTTTTCTTTCACTTTTCACTCTTGCACCGAGAAAACCAACTTTCTTGATTTTACCCTGAAGAAAAAATTCTAGTGTGTCCCTTCATCACTCATGCTTCTTTCTGAAATTGATTTACTTTCATTTTCTAGGTGCTGGTGAATCCGGTAAAAGCACAATAGTCAAACAGATGAGGATCTTGCATGTGAATGGATTTAATGCTGAGTAAGTGCATTTGTTTTTTTACTTTACAACCTACCTTATATCTGTGCACCACACAGTAGTCACTACTGTTGGTTTATATCTTGGTATATTTTCTTGTTGCTACTGTTTCATGGTCTCTAGAATTTGGATGTGTATTTTTAGATGAGATTAATAGACATTAACTTGAAGAAGTCATGCACCAATAATAAGTAAGAGCTAACGGTATAAAATGATTTCTCTCAAGGTTCAGTATAGCTGATTTGATTAAGGCTTAAGTTTTGTACAGTTTTTTTAACTGCAGTTTCTTTCACAACATGGCTGACGCTGATTTACCTCTGCTATAGCACATTGATTCATACTGCTGTAAACATGCCTCCTGTTAGTGTACAAGATGAATGCAGTTTTCTTTATTTAGAGCAAGTAAGGCTTTTGTTTCTGTCTCCTCACAAAATGAGACTGTACTATGAATTTTGGGGGTAATAGGTCAGATTTTCTTCTCTCTTCTGTTGTGTTTGCTTGTCCAGATGTTTGTGTTAAATTATGTTTCTAAAAGCTCTTCTTGTTTACACTTAAAATCTGTTCAATTATTTGATAGTTGTGAGGAGGGGAATGACATTAGGTTAGGGCAAAAGGAAATCTATTATTTTCTCTTGAGAAAAATTTGTGTTTGCTAACTTTTGATCTAGCCTTGCTAGGGAGGAGGAAGAGATGCTTCTGCATGTTAGTTTATGCTTGCAAGCATCTTTGTGTGTGTGTGTACCAAAACCTGCTAAATTAATTCTAATTGAATTAAGGTGTTAGAATTTCAGAGCTTATTCTTTGTGATTAATTTTTTTAGATTATATTAGTGGTTTTGTCTGTCTTGTTTTCAAACATAGTATTTTTGTATTAGCATCCTCTACCTTCTAGTCAGTATCATCTATTTTGTGAATCCTGCCTTTTTTGGGAAGATTAAGCTTTCACTAGTCTTTCAGTAGTTAATTCTTTAGTAAGAATGTCTGAGCTAAAAGTTTAGCCAAGGAGCCTGGACAATACTTCTTCCTAATCCCTGAATGCTAGTTCAGGATAAGGTACACAGTCTTTTGGAAGAAAGTTCAGACTGATTCATAATAAATGACATTCTGTGCTACATGCTTTTAGCTCCTCTTTATAGGGAATATTTTCTTTATCCAGGACAGCTCTTTTTCATAAGTGCCTAGTCCTGCATCCTATTACCGCTGAGTTGTCTCCATTATTTTGGCTGCTCTTGTTACTAAAGACCTCTTAAAGGACTTGGGTGACTTAAAAGATTTGCATGAGTTGACTTTGATGTAGCAGCTCTAAACCTTAGCACCTAAGTAAAATGTTCATCAATGAAAGTGGAAGTCAGGGATCCTTGGCACCTTTAAAAGTATCAATCCATTTAACCAACACAGTTCTTCTAAGTTTTCTAAGCAAACAGATGCTTCTAAAGAGATGATGCTGGTGTGTAATGAATGGTGTATTACATGGGTAGGTAACGTTCTCAACCCTGCAAGCTGCATAACCAAATTTGTGCAAAACTGAGAGCCCAGAGACCCATTATGCAATGCCTGCAGAGCTGAGGAGGGACTGGGGCACACTTTGGGATTTGCAACAGCGGTGTGTTCCTCGAATATCTCACTTTTGTGGTGTAGGTTGGGGCTAAGCTGAGCGTGCAGCTGGATTCCAGGGCAACATGGCAAATTCGGCCTCAGGAGCCTCTGCTGGCTTCTGCCTTCTCATTGCGAGGGATTTGGATTACCTAGCAGCCCTATGCCAGCACAACCCTGCTGCCAATCACATAGCATACCCCGGTGTGGGAGCCACACTTGAATTGCTGGGGAGCTGCATGCAGCTCTCGAGCCGTTGGTTGTCCACCCCACGGCATATTGTCTTGCAGTCAGTCCTTTGTGCTTGTTCCTTGTGGGTGGTGCGTATTGGAAAGTTCAGGTGCATAAAAATCAGATTTTAAAGTGGTATATATAAATGTACAAGAAATAAGTTACAATGCATCTAGTTATAGGTTTTTGTTGCCAGAAACAATCAGTGGATAATAACATACACTTCACGTGGGGGAGAAGGCTGGTTTTCAGTGTTTTGAAGTTCTTGCAAGTTACACCTTAGTCCTTAAGTAACTTGTATTTTCTTCAACGTAACTAACTGCTACCTATGTTGTCCTGCTTTCCCTGCTATCCTTTTCGCCCGATTCATTCCCTTTCTGCCCTGCTTACCACGTGGAAAAATGGTGTGGGATTCAGCTAGTGAGAGAGATAGCATGGACTTTTTTTGGAAGAGCAGGAGAAGCAAAGCATTACTTCTCTTATTGTTCTTATCAGTTTTCTAGAACATAAAGTTGTTTGCATACAGCACCACAGTTGATGTGATGAATAGCAGCAGAGAGGTGGTGAAAACTGTAGTATGCCAGAGATGAAGAGACATTTTTTTAATGTTAGTGTCCATGTACATAACTGTAGTTTTGAATTATTGCTGTTGATGCAACTTATTCATGTGGCTGGAAAGAAATCCAATTTAAAGTCCTGTCTAAAACTTGTTTGCCTTTGATTTGGTTGCCCTGTGATAATTGATGTTTGAAGCAGAAGGAGGATACCTATTACGAAAGGTGTCTAATGTGCTATGAACACGGGAATCAAAAGTTTTTATTTAGTGTTACTCAAATACTCTTCTTAATTCCTGGTGACTAAACAGGATATCCAGTGCTAAATGTACTAGCTTCCTTCAGAGAGTGTGGCGATTTTTTTTATTTGTTTTGTTTTCAGGATTCTGCCCCTAAAGAGATGAAGGGACAGTTGTCATGTGCATTGAGGTGAATCACCCTCATGTAGAGTTGTAGAATTTAACAAGGTGAAATCTATGCAGTTCTACAAAACTAGAAGAATTTCCTCTGGGACTCCCATCCTTGATCGCTTTACCTAATTAATTATTTGAGGAACTGTATGGAATCAAGTGTTCCAGGTAATTAATATGCTGAATAGTTAACAATGCTAAGGTGAATTTGAAGGTGGTTAAAGTTCTAGCCAAGTTAACTACAGTAAAGACTGTTTAAAAATTTTTCAGTGTTCTTTTTATAATCTGTAGTTGAGTTAGAGACAGAATTTTTTTTGTTGTTGTTCCTGTTGTGAAGGTGGTGTGTGGGAAGTAACAGCGCTCTGGCATTGGTATGCAGAGCAGAATATTGGAGAAGGCATGGTCTACAGCACAGGTTTTTCTGGATGGAGTTTTGGGAAGGGCTTAGCCTGCTTCCAGCTCTTGCAGGGTGGCTTCAGTTGGTTGTGCTCTCAACTGATGTCTTCCGACAGTGGTTTCATCTGTAATGGGAGCGTGGCTTGCCCGCAGTATTCTTCCAGTGTGCCTCATCTTTAACATGGAAGAGCTGTATTTTAAGCATAATGAAGACTCCATATCAACCAAATTTTCTGCTCTTTGCACTACTGCCAACAACAGAGCCCCTTGTGATGTAGAAAGGGTTTAAATTTGGCTTGTAATAGCAGGAAGCCTGTGACTTCCCTTCCTTTCCTTCCCTCCCTCTTCAAAACTTCAACTGTCTTTTCATGAGGCTGTTCCAGAGGAGTAGGTCTCTGCTGTTGGATACTGCATTTTATGAGCATCCACTGATAAAGTGGAGCTAAAACCTTCTCTTTTTGACTGGGCAGAAGTTCAGATGCCAATCTTGATGAACCAGAAAGGATTAAAAATGGAAAAAGGAGGGCAGGAGGAGTAAAGAATATATGGAAGAGTGAATGTAAGTGTATAGTTGAAGTTGAAGAGGGGAAAAAAATGAGTCTTTTCTGTGTTATCTTGGGGCTGGGGTTCTTTGCTTCTAAGATGATGGCCTTTCACTGACTTTTTTTAAGTCATTTTTCCCCTCTGTGGCTGACAGACTCTAAGGAGAGGGTCATTGTCATGCACGATTTTAGAAAGTGGGAAATTGGCAGGGGTGATAGACGATTTGAAGTGTCATGGGAAAATCTAGGACAAGCAGAAATATTTAGATAGAAATAAATCGTTGAAATGTGACTTACGAAATCCACTACAAAGATTGACAAATAAGGGGAATGTGCTTTTGTGATTAGTAAGTTTGGATAGTATTTATGATTCAGGAAGTCTTGAGCTTATAGGGAATTTCAGATAACGCTTCTCAGCCTCAGATTCCCAAATGTTGTATAATGATGACTTTATTTATTTCTATTACGACCTAGATTTAGTAGTTTGTGAGGAAGGAAAAGTAATCATTGATGCTTTCTAATCCTTTCTTTATATATCTTGTCCACTAAAAGTTGAACTGCAGTACCACCATGAGTTCACATAAACCAGTAAATGATGTTAACTAGCCACACTGGTCAGTGTCAGTCTCTTTTCTGACAGAAATGACTTGTCTCGGTAATTTTACTGTTCTGCTTTCTGATACTGTGCTTTGTTTTCTAACTTTGGTCTTTTTATGTGTGTGATTTTATGGAAGGGAAGATAATGAGTGAGGAAAAAGTATAATATTTATAACTAAGTCTTTAAAAATAATGATTTCCCTCCTAATGGCTAATATTAGTTTGTATACACAAACATTATTGCTCTGATTTTACAGTTCCTTTAGATTTGTGTACCAATACTGTGTTTTTAGAATGGTCACATCAGTTCCTTGCCAAGAATCAAACTGACTTTATTGTATTTTACTCTACTGGCAGCAAAAATATTTTTTTCTGGTGTTTGAGTAACATTGAAAATCGGGGGGGGGGGGGGGGGGGGGGGCACACGGCCCCCCCTTTCTTTTTTTCTGTGTATCACAATGTATATGGGGAGGCTTCTGCAGATTTGAGGCAGAGAGCTTTTTTTTCTTTTTTTTTTTTTCTTAGCTCTTCTTCCAGGACACAGATAAGTTGTTACTGTGCTGGAAAATTTGTGTGCACATATCTGTTCAAGACTATGAAAAGTTCGATTCCTAGCTGAACAACTAGTTACGGGTTTTGATCAAAATTTGTGCCGTAGAACGTGGAGTGAAAGTGTGGGCG